TGATGGTGCAGAGCCCTGATGAATCTGTAACCAAAGTGGAAGTTTCAACTCCTGATGACAAACAACCTGAACAGCACTTTGTGACTCAGGGAAATGAGGAAGGTGACATTTCAGACAGCAAAGGTGGTGGAGTCTCTCCACAATCTCCAACCTCATTAGCAACTCCACCTTTTGAGTCCCAACTTCAGGACAATACTGTGAGCAGAGATAAGCAATCCCATGGTGTCACCGAATCCAGGGGGAATAGAAGAAAAATGGGATCTACTCGTAGAGTAAAAGGAAGACAGCGTGATAAGGAATTTAAAGATGAAGATGCAATTGGTGATGAAACCCCTGAAACAACAGAAATGTCAGCAACAGAGGCTACAAGACCTGAAGAATTACTGCAAAGAAACGAGCATGATGTTTCTCTGTCTGTGCCATATCATGAAAATTCCCTTAAAAATCAAAATGACGGAGATACTAAAGTGATTAATGATAAACCAGTGCAGGCTGGGATGGAAGAAGTCAAAAAAGATCAGCACATAAACCTTTTAGGGCAGGATGGAAATTTACCCAGCAATATTTTGTTAAGTGGAACAACAGAATCTACCATTACAGTTGAGATAACAACTGACCAAACTAGCCCAAGAGAAAGCACTGACGTTGAATGCAGTGTTGCACAAGAAACATTTTTTGCATCTCAAAATGTGTTGACTACAAATAGGGAACAACATGAGCATTGCAACCCAATTGAGGTCACCAAAGCTAAGCAGTCAGAGGGTGCATTAATGCATCAGACTGACTTCAGCGCAAGTACAGAGAGTCACCAAACATCCTTATCTGAAACAAATATCTCTTTGGACTTCCACCATCAGGATAATTCTCAGGACATTACAGAAATTCACACACGCCTCAGCCATACAGGGAATAGAAAGAAAATGGGTTCAAGCCGAAGAAATAAAGGAAGACAGTGTGTCAAGGACTCTGATGCATACCAGGAACCTAAAGATGACATTTTAGAAAAACCCACAAGTAATGACAAACTCAGAACAATTGACATGTCACCAGCAACAGATATAACAAAAGAGGAAGAAGAAAAAGACCTCATATCCATTGACAAAGAAGTGCAGATTAGCTCAACAGCAAAAGAAGGCAAAAATAAAGAAAAGTTGTCAGAGGAAGATGCATTTTTCTCACAGAATAATATGGATAGCAATACAGATGGACTTCTCAAATCTAACAACGATTTCAATGAGGAAAATAAAGTTGTTCAAGATGCTTTGAATTTAGATCAGCTTACAGGATGTGACACAATTACAAAGCACCTGATGCAATCACCACAAGCCTCAGTTTGTGAAATTCCCTCAGACATGCAGCATACCTCATATCATGCTGGCATCGAAGGCTCTAGCTCTCTGAAGGTGCTTGATAAAGAAGAAGCGTTGGAGGCAATGGATGCAAGCAACGGCCAGCAAGAACAAACTCAATCAGGTAACAGAAATACTTTCCAAATAAATCCACAACAGAAGAAGAGAAAGATAGGTTCTTCTCGCAGGAGTCAACTCAACAGAAAAAAAGAGGAAGAAACAGACAACACAGATGAAACCAAGGAAAGTGACTTTCACACCGAAGCTGACGTGAGGAATACTGAAAAGTTGGACGTGGTAGAGTTACCGTTAACTACAGATATACCACAAAATGAAACTGCACAACCGTTATTCTCTGCTGTTCATAAACAACAGGAAGCTGCTGAAACCTTTTCTGTACCAAGCAGTACAGAGATCAATGTGATACCAGTAGTAGAAGATTTTAAGGCCACTCTTCCTGAACAGTTTTCCTCTCTCCATGAAGAAACTATCAGTCTGGTTACACGCGTTATCACAGGTGGTGTAAGAGAAGTTATTGTGGAGCCGCCACAGCTAGACAATTTTACAAACACTGAGACTCAAATAACCACTGTGGTCACGGATAGAAGCAGACGCTCCATAAATCAGTTGCTGCCCCCAAATACCGAGGCTGCCACAGACACTGGCATAGCAGAAGAGAGCTTAGTGTCTTTTGGTGAGGCCAGGCAAAATACACATAGCGATGAGGAAAGGCCAGAGAGCATAAAAGTAGTACAAGATCAAGATGCTAGTGAGAAAAATCCAAACAACTTGAATGAAGGAGCTCGTAATAAAACTCAAGAGATGAGGAGTGAAAGTCCAAATTTACATTTGAGCAACCGGAGAAGAAAGATGGGCTCCACCCGCAGAAACAAAGAAGAGCTTCATCAAAAACAGGAGGTGGATAACGAAGCGAAGGAGACTGGAACAGACATCGGGGAAACTAAAAGTGTCTCCATAATCAAAGAAGAAGCACTTCAGCTTCACACAGATCACAAAAACAATGATAGCGAACAAGGAAAACAGAAAGTATTTGAAACAGTGGAAATCAGCCCTCCGGGTCAGTCTAAATTCAAACCTCTGCCTGAGCAAACAGTTGAAGAGAGGCCTGTTTCCCAAGACCAGCTAGCAGAAACAGAATATCACACTGCAAATGACCTCCTGTCTACATCCTTAAAAGATGATTTGGTGTCAGAATCAGCATCTGGAGGGAGGAGAAGAAAATTGGGATCTAACCGAAGGTCCTGTGGACATCAGCGTATAGAAGACAAAACAGGAGAGGGCACAATAATAGATGATCAAAGTGGGACAGATGCCAGAATTTCAGAGGTAAGCAGCAATGTTTGGGGTTTTTTGTTTAGTTTAGTTTTTTAGTATTTAGTAGAAATCTTAATTGTTTGCAATTTTTCCAAAACCTCATGCACAGACTACATTTAAATTTGACTATTAAATGCAATTCCTTATTGAACCTTGTTGTATTTATAATTCTATGCATAGTTGTGAATAGTGAATAGTTATTATTGGACAAGTGTTCTTTCACATAGGCAAGCCTACATTGTTATTTACACCCCATTTGCAGTAGACACTTTGCAAACTGGATTGTTTGTGGCAAGATCATTGTGACACAGGGAACTAAAAAGAGGAACGTGAGGTTTACATAGCATGTTTCACATACAGCAAACGAGAACATGTGTTCACCTTCTTCAGAAACCTGGCAGATAAGGGCTTTGAATGAGATCAGCAAATAATGGCTTTAAAGATGTCACAATAAATTGTTATTATCAACAAAGAATGGGAAACCAGTAGGACAGATATTCCAGCTTCAGATATTATTAGGAGACGACCGATTACTAGATGATAACTAATCCAAGTAGAATAATTTGCACTTTCACATCATAAAATGAGTTTGTCATGCACATTTAGAAGCATAAAAAGCCCTACTTTTCTTTCTGCAGGTTGGAAAACGTGATAAGAAACCATCATCAGGCCTCTCAAAGAGTGAAGACCACTCAAAGACTGTGAGGTAGGTCTAACACACAGATATTTTTTAAAAGGCTGGGGTTGTCCAGCTACTTAATTAGCTTTCAAGTGTTGGCTTTCCTACTTGACTTACTCACTGTAACTCATAAAGTCCGAATTTGTTACAATGTAATCTGTTATGCGTTATACTGAATATTCATGTTCATATTGCATATATAGCAATGGACAACTGTAATATCAGTCACCTCAAAGTTCACTTTGTAACATCCAAAAGAAAATGTCCATGAGATGGTTAAAAACATTTTACAATTTGTTAATCTATTTGAGTCACATACAAAAGGAAAGTATACCTGCTTTTACACATAAAACATAATAACACTGTGTCATTATGTAGTTAACAAAAACTAAGCCAAAATTCAGAAGGAGTGTGTGTAAAACTAAGTAGACTTTTACTGCTTCAGTGTGACCACCTTTATAAAGCCAGAAGTGTCCCTTTCCCAACGATTCCAAAACATTCAAGACACCTGCTAATTTTCCCAAAAGTGAACGTCCCAACAAATTCACCCCTAGGTCAGACCCTGCAATGCCATGCTGCCAAGAGAAATCCTCTTCTCTCTAAAAAGAACATGGCAGCATGGCTGAAGTTTGCAATATTGCATCTGAAAAAGCCACAGACTTCTCGAACAATGTCCTTTGCACAGATGTGACCAAAGTAGAGATGTTTGGCCATAATGCACATAAAATCCAGGGCTCAACGTAAATTAAATGTGGTAGCAAGACCTCATGAGAGCTGTGCATTAACAAATGCCTGCAAACCTCAGTGAAAAGGAACAATGTCTGAAAGAAGAGCAGGCCAAAAGTCCTTCACAGCAATGTGAGAGACTGATAAAGTCACAGAGAAAACAATTACTTCAACTTAATTCTGTGAAAATGCAGAATCATAGGGTGTGTTTAGTTTTTTCCTCTGACGCTGTAGTTAAAATAATTTAAGAACATGGTAATGACCGGATGATTTCTTGGAATGCCTTGATAAGGTAAAAACTTGTGCACCGCATGGTACTTTCTTTCTTTTTGCAAGCTTTAAAAATACAGTTATGCAATTACTACTGTACACTAGCTTAGCAGTAGTGTATGCACTATTTTCAGCTGACCTGCTTAGAAATGAGGTGTGAATGTCACCAGAGTGGTGTGGTTTAAGAGCACACAGCTTCCTCATCTCTATTGTTTTAAATAAATAATCACAAATCAAGTGAATGACAAAATTCCTTGTCAAATGTTCAGTGCACGGCAACTCAAATATGAGCTTGAGACATTCTGAAAACTGACCATTTCAACCTTGCAAATCCTTACGCTGTATATGTCATGAAGTTTGTTTGATTGTCTTTTCCACAGTGAGAAGACTTCAACCCAACCTTGTAATGCTGGAATCTTTCCTGTTAAAGAGAATCAAACATTTTCTCTGGGTAAGAAGATGATCAGTGCAACTTACCAATAATTATAGGGAAATTTTACATTAAAAGTTGATGTATGACCAGACATTTTCATTTCAGTTGATAATCCGGGAGTGTTAGACTCCAAATCAAAGCGCTACAATGTGGTAATGATTGGAGACAGCAGTGTGGGAAAGACCTCCTTCATGAAAAGAGCTCAAAGTGGGAAGTTTTCTTTAGATATACCTGCCTCAATCGGTAAGATCCTGGTGTTAATCTCACAATTAATCCTACTAATGTGTATGCACAGTGATGTACACTCTAAATATACACGTAAATATTGTTTATAGGCCTGGATTCGCTGATGTGGCCTGTTGTAGTAGATGGAAAGCCTATGATACTACAGCTATGGGACACAGCAGGTCAAGAAAGGTAAGTCTCAATTTTCCTCTTAGAATGAATCATTGAGACAAATTTTTGATGTTTCACAGAACATTTAAATTATATATCACTATGCAAATGTCTTGAGCCACTCTACATTTCTTTATATTTTGATACCAGTAATCTGCTGTAGATTGGTTTGTAAGCCTGCCAGTTATTATTTGGTCCTCCATTTGTCCAGTTTCCTAAATTTGTAAGGACACACAGCACACCATGCCAAGAAGTGACAAAAAATTTGAAACTGGCAACTCTTTAGGAATCATGTTGTTGGTTAAAAAAAGCATAACATTTTCATTGACTGTCAAACGGTGTTATATTTTGGCATTTTTCATAGATTCAAGTAAAGAAATGGGAACAAATTATATACAGGCTGCTAATAACAAAGTGCCCAAAGATACAATTTAAAATGGGTTCTTTGCTAAGTGTTTCCTTGCTGTAGACAAAACAATGTATCTCCCCTTGAGTCAGGTGCCATGTTATGCCATCTACGCTTGAATTTTTCAAAGGTCAATTTTATGTTACAAGGACTGGACTAAGAATGAGTGAAAAAGTAGCCAATATCCAAAGGAAAACTTTGAAACACCTTCAGAAAGCTGGAGAACTATTGCTTAAGACCACTTTAAGAATTACAAGAAAGTCCTTCCAGGCAAAATATAAAGAAATGAAGGGTTTATCAAGACTTTTGCACAGTTTTGTTGCTGAAAGAAGCCATATTGGAGAGAATACATTTAACAGTTTTTTTGAGTTTTATTAATGTTTTTTCTAGTCTGTTTTGAACAGTACATATATTATAATGTACGTAGGTCACGGTAGGCTGCCTGTAGGAGAATAACAAATATCACAGTCGTCAGTGTGTTACGTATGACAGTATCAAAGTCCAACTTGTCTGGCTTTTCACAGCCCAGGTTATCTTTTACATTTCACGTTAGTTAAATTCTGTAAATGAGCAACTTGTCTGAGTATAAAAACACTGGGAGCAACACGTCTGCATTTCTGTGACGTCATAAAGACAAAAAGCACAGTTTGTCCATTAAAATACGTTAATTATCTAGTTGAAATTCTGAATTCTGCCAAACCTCGTGATTTTCTCCTTCATAGCATGGGTTTGTCAGGAGTAGAATTGAGCCAGGTGGAAAAAGCAAAGATGACTTCATAATGAGTGCAGAAAAGTCTATCCTTCTAATAAAGCAAGAAAAATTGCAAAACCTGTGCATGACAGTTTGTTTCTGCTTACTCATTTCTATCATACTGCTCATAAAACTAAAAGTTAACTACAGACTTGGACGCACGAGTCCCAAACTACAATACACCGACATATCCTGAAGGAAACATACATATCCAGAGAGAGAGGAAAAAAAGAAGCAAATTTCTATATCAAGGTTTTCTAAACAACTACTGCTTTCTGGAGTTTGTTTGAGTCAGACTTGAATAGTTTTATATCTGTTTTGTAAATAAAGCCAATCAGAGAAGACGCCATCTCTTTTTTAAAGGTACAGGCTATTATTTTGTGGTTTATGATGTCCTGAATGTTGTGCCACATGCAGTCTTGCTGTTCTAGGGAGTGGCTGTGTTTTTTTCAGTGTATAGATAAACTTCCCCGATGGCCAAGGACACACTGTCCCGCTGTTCCGAAGCCTGACAAGGAAGGCTTCCAAGTAGGCGACACCCAGTGTTCAAAGCAGTGTGTACACACTGCTTTGAACGCAAGATCTGCAGTTACTACATGTAACAGTGTTTACTTAAGTAACATTTGCTTTTGTAGATAGATACGGTATAGCAGCCAATTTCAACATGTAACAGACAATATGCTCAGATCAGAGTCTGTGTATTTAAAGACTGCCCAAGTGTAACTGGTTTCAGAACTGGTTTGGCACTCCTCAATAATGTTTTGTATTCCAGGATACAATGCAGATTTTGTTCCAGTGACCGAGGTGGACTCAACACGCATGCAATTTAAAAATGCTCACTTTTAACTGCAGATTTTAAGCAGACTCGTGTTGGATAAGTTCAATTAAAAAACATAGCAAGAGTGAGAAAGCGTTTGAGACATGCAGTTCCCCAAGAGTTTACAAAAAGCCTCCTTAATGTCAACAATAAAGTGAAGCTTTATTCCAACTCTTCACCTAATGGACAAGCTTCTAAGATCTATTTATTTTATTTTTGCTACAAAAACATCTGACATTTACTTGTTCAAGGAGGGAAGTCTGAGACATGGGTGTGTCTTGAAAAATATGTTCAGGGCAGCCTCTGCAAACTGCATTAAATGACAAATTTGTTACATTAACTTTTGAGTGAATGTGAGGAAAGTAATTAGAATGTGCTACAGTATGCAGAGCTAGTGTCTTCCTGGTTTCAAAAAGGAAGTATTAATAGATCACCTCTAATGTCATGCTTTTCTGTCTTTAAAGGTTTCACAGTATCACCAAACAGGTCTTCCACAAAGCCCAGGCCTTTCTCTTGATGTATGACATCACCTCCACCAATAGTTTTTCCGCAGTCAGTTACTGGGCAAACTGTATTCAGGTATGTCTTCCCTTTCAAACTTCAACACCTATTTTTTAAACAGATGTTGAAATTACTAGTTAAACATGCTATGTTGTCAAAACAGTGATTTACTTTTATATTCATTTAGTGTTTTTGGTTCTAATAGGCGGGGCTACACTGGCCACTTCATTAGCACACCTATTCAACTGCTTCAAAAAAAGGAATGAACTAAGCACATGCAAGTGCATTAATGTATGTAGACATAGTCAAGACTACCTGCTGATGTTCAAACACAGCATCAGAACAAGGAAGAATGATGATTTAAGTGACTTTGAACATGGTTGTTGGATCTATTTCAGACACTCATCTACAATAAACTTTTCTCTCACAACCCGCCTTGTTGCGAGAGATCAGAGAATGGTCAGGCTGCTTCAATCTGATAAGCAGGCAACAGTAGTTTAAAAAAAATTACAAATAACCACCATAAGGTATGCAGAAGAGCATCTCTGAATGCACAATACTTATCAGCTTTGAAGGAGAAGGGCTACAGCAGCAGAATAACCCACCGGGTGCCACTCCTGGCAGTTAAGAACAGGAAATTGAGGCTACATTCACACAAGCTCATCACAGTTGGTTAACGGTAGTCTGGAAAAACGTTGCCTGGTCTGATGAGTTTCGATTTCTGCTGCAGCATTTGTATGCTGAGGTCAGAATTTGGTGTAAACGACATGAAAGCATGGATCAGTCCTGCCTTATTCAGGCTGGTGGTGGTGTTTAATGTTTGGGGTTTTTTTTGGCACACTTGGTCCATATTGACATGTCAATATGGACCAAACTCTCTAGGAAATGTTTTCAGTGTCTTGTTGTATCAATGCCAGGAAGAATTAATGTTGTTGTGAAGGCAAAAAGGAGTCCAACGGGGGTGCTAACAGGTATACCTAATAAAGTGGCCTATAAGTGTGATACTGAAGTGTGTATTTAAAACAGCAGCACATATTTTGATTATTAGTAGAAAAAAGTATTGATAAATTTAAAACATCAACTATTTATAGTGGACGGGATGTGAGTGTCTGAAACAGTTAACCAGCCTGCAAAGTTAGACTAGTTTGTAATAACATGTGCAGATTATCAAAATGATTCCTGTTCTGCAGGAGTCTGCTGCTGAAAATGTGACTGTTTTGCTTCTTGGAAACAAGAGCGACTGCTCAGAACGACGGGTTAAGACTCATCAGGGGGAAATTCTTGCTAAGGTGCGAATATGTTGCATTACACCCACTTATGAAACAATCACATTCAGTTCAGTAGTTTTAATGATCAAAACACCCACAGTGAGTGCAGATATTCATTCAACTCCACAGGAATATGACTTTGAGTTTATGGAGTGCAGTGCTGCCACGGGTGAAAACGTGATCCAGTCTTTGGAAGTTGTAGCCAGGTATGTATATAATTTTATTGTTTTTCTCTAAAACCACATCTTTTAACATCGATATGCCCTGTAAAGTCGACTGCTGTGTCATCAGCTGATTGCACTGTTGCTGTGTTGTTGCCAGGAAGCTGAGTCAAAGAATTGACTCAAGAGAAGAAGCCACAGTGTTGCACAAAGAGCCAGAACAGAAAAAAAGCTCAAGATGTTGCTGAACAAATGTGTTTGTCTTCAAAAAAAAAAAGAAAAAAAAACAAGTGGTGAAATCCTGAAAACAAGAACACGCTGTACTCATCTGGCTTTCTTGTAACTCAGTGCATTATATTTTATTACTTGTACTACATGTCTGCATATTTTCAGTGTTGTTATATTTAGATATAAAATTATTTCTTCAAAGGCCTTATATTAAAATATTAGTTTATAGTTAGTAGTGACCAAAGTTATATAGTTAAGAAAGTGAAGGCTTTTTCAGTATTTGCTTAATAGCTACCCAATAATTTAATGCATATACAAGCTTACTGTATTTAATTATATTTGCACCATGTGTTTTATCTTGCAATATGACAATTTTTGTGCAATATTGTGCAACTTCAAATAATTTCAAATCACATGATTGACATTTTTCCAGATGAAGCTGTAACAACTAAAATCACAAGTTTAAGATTTTATGTGCAATTTCACAAAGTTCATCTCTGTCGTTGTACATCGACTAAATGTTTAGTCTACACCCTCTTCACTTTATGGATCTACTATACTGAAATTTAATGTAAATGTGTATATAGTATGATTAATTTAAACAGGAGAATACCCCATTCAGATATTACCAAGAGAACATGTGACCGAGAGCAAATCTAGTACAGTGGTAAATAATTATTATATTAAATATATATTAAACATAATTATACTTGCTTTTTTGTGATTTTGTTTAGCCTTTCTTCTAAGTTGGCATTCATCTTAATTCAGTCATCACAACTGTCAGATCTGACACATAATTATGAATAAACATTACTCCCCTATAATTATAGTGCCAGTGACATGATCAGCAGTTATATATGCAAATGTATTTTTATGTTCCCGTGCATTTCCTTTGTGACCAAGTACCTTTAAACCAATTGTTTTAATGGCGTGTCTCATGATTAATAAATCTCCAGATAAACAATGTCTGCTTGTGTACTTAATTTGTGCCCTCGTGGAAGTTATGGGTTTCCAGACTGACAAAGACAACTGTGTTAGCAGTGGAACAACAAGTCCGACAGTGGTATTAAGAGCATGTCAACAATGGCGCCACTGCAATAATCTCATATAGTCCCAAAGGAGGTGTTGTGGGAAAGGGAACTGAACTGATCCCATGGGATGCATGTACCCACCTATGAGAAGTTCAGTTGAGTAATGTGGTTATTTCTGTTATTTCTGTTTCAGGCTTAAACATGTTAAAACAACAACAACATCAAATTACCTGGCAATGATAGATTTTTCTGCTGTTGCAGATGAGCTTAACATGGTTATAGTTTTTTGTCTTTCAGCAAGCAAAAATAGAAGAAAGCATGCAAATCCACATCAGAACAAGGGCAGGTGGTGAGTCAGAAAAACAAGCCAATGACAAAAGTTAAAGAACAACAGCTCAGGCCCTGCAGGGCTCCAGTTTTGCCTATTTGGAGCTGGATCCCTGCTGTGCACGAGCTGTTGAAGATTCAGCTCATTTCCCCATAAATAATTTCACATTACTAAGTTCTTTAATCTTAGACATCACCATAATGCCGTGAAAAAAACCCCAAACATTTTAAATTGAAGCAAAGTGGTTTAATTTCAAGTTACCATTTTTATCCTGTGGCAGAGACCCTCTATCATTTCTCGTAAATGGAAAGCTGGCTGCTTTTCTTTGGTTTGTTTATTTCCCACATACACTGAAACTTAACAAGGATCAGACCTGAGTATGACTCCAGTTAGTCTAATCACTACTAGTTTGAGATTACTGGTTTAAATTTAATCAATGTCTGGAGCCACCAAAACAAGTGTAATGTTGACCTTTGGCCAGCTGGGGGAGTATTTATGCCAGTAAAGCATGTATTTGAACTCATCTACAGACCTAAAAAACAACAACAACAAAAAACCCCACAGCAATTAAACTGATACCATAATCAAACATGTGCATTCTTTTTGGTCTTTATTATTGTAAATTCATTCAGAACATAAGAAATAATATTAACATTAAGGAATTAAGCAATACTACAGCATTGCAAAATACAGTTTTTGTTTTCCACCACAGTGAATTTTATATCGATTGATATGTGCAGACTTCTGGGTTTAATTCAATGGGTTTTACAGAAGTATTGCTTTAACTGTTTACAGTTATTTGTATACACATCCTGTATACAAATCACGGTCAAATGTTCACCGGGATTTCTAGTCTGCAAACCTCTTTCCTGACTGAGCTAAACTGTGGGAAGTTATGCAGCGTCATAAAAAAATTTTTTTGATCGGGTCATAGGTGAATGATAGGCCTTAAGTGACTAGTTATTTTACACAATCTACCTAGCCACTCCTTCATTAATTTCACTTTGTTGAGTTTCTGTGATATTGTCTTCAGATGTTTGTAATGCAGATGTCTTGTTCGTTGCCTTTGAACGTTTTTTATTTTTCTTAGTGGAATGATACAACTGGATGGCTTGCATGACATCAGCAGCAGTCCAGTGGTGATGGATCAGAGCGTCCTGTAGGGTAAAAAGTCCGTCTCTGGTGCGTCGTACTCCATTACACACTGCTGTGCTACGCAGTTCCAGTCCTATCTCATGCACAATTTTACGCAGATACTTCTGAGTCTCATTTAGACACTGCACCTCTGTAAAAACAGGAGACATGTTTGAAACCTGACCCGCATTTTTTTTTTTTAAATTGTCAAATATGTTTCATGTGTTCAAGTGAAGATTACCTAATGTGAAGTTGGGAGGCTGGAAGCGAATGCAACGCAAGCCGGTCAAGATGGGTGTCGATTTCCCCTCTGGACCCAGTAAACCTTGCGCAGCCAGCTCATAGGCTTCCTGTGAGCGCATGTCTATGTTGGAATACCTGTACAGCAAAAAAGAAACTATTGTTTAGTACTGTTGCAAATATTTACAGAGGGTCTTATGCAAAAGCAGAGGGCAAAAGATGCCATTATTAGGTTTACAGAAATCTAACGTCTTACGTCAACAACGTTTTTTGGTTGACTCCCTCCAGCATTGACAGAACTCTCTCCAGCTTATCCTGTGTGATGTGATCTAGGAGACAGTTTTTTTTAAGTATATTTAAAGGGACATCAGTTCACATAACAAGTGTTTTGCTTATATTCTTGCACTTCAGGTATATAAATTAGAACTGCTCTTATAAAACCTTTAAAACCACATACACAATTCAGTCACAGGCAGGCCTGAACTGCCATGAGGCAAGAGGTGGAGTACACCCCGTACAGGTCGGCATTCTGTTGCAGGGCTAACAAAGAGATACAGACAACTCACATTCACATTTACGGCCAATTTAGATTCACCATAAGAGTCACCATATTTTTGAGTTAAATTGACATGCATGTCTATGGACTGGAGAGAAACCAGCACAAGGACTGGGAGAACATAGTCCTCACAAAGACTCCAGCAGGTCAGTGGATTCGTAGCCAAGACCCTTTCCCTGCTGTGAGGTGACAATTCTAAACACAACACCTTTGTGCCGCCATGATACTTTATCGAAAAAAACTTTGTTATTTTAAGTGAAAGATTGAGGAAGCTCAAACTAAAAGAGAAATGATTCATACCATAAGTGGACCTTTCCACAACTCGACCTGTGTTAGTGAAATTATCTGTTGCAGTTCCAAATTCAGCCTCCAGGGTATAATCCTGCAAGAAATATTGTAGAATTGGATCTGTCAGCATTGGATCTGAATTGCATCAGTTTATGTCTGAGAGAAAATTACAAATTACCCTCGTCACTCTTGTGGTGTAGAAATCATTCAGCGCCTTGTTTCCATTCCCAACAGCAAGAACTACATTTTAGAAATATGTGGATATTCTCAGATGATTCACAAAACGAATGCCAACACTGTAATTAATAAATTAATTTTTTCAAATGAGCAAATTATACCTAGAACACCCGAGGAGAAAGTATCGAGGCGATGTCCGACTCCAACTCGAATATGCTGGAATTCAGGTCCTGTGACTAAAATCAAAATGAAACATTATATTCACTCACTACAGTGTTATTCACCACACCTGAGGTTTAATTTACTCCAGTCACATCTAAATTGAAACCAGATTTCATAGATGACCTGTTACAGGGTAAAACGGTGGAGACACAGAAATCTGTTATTTCTGTGTCTCCACAGAAAACAGTTATAAACACTGTTCAATATCAAAGTGGAAAAAAAAGTTGTGAAAAAGAAAGTAAAACCTCTTTTAAATCAAAGGTTTTATGTGTCAAATATCATCTGCTACCAAAAATGACGCAAATACAACCTAAGATGAACAACAACACGACACACTGTGTCTCATTTATTTATCTCGGCTTCTGAAATGCTGAGGCAGAGTGTAAAAATGGCCAATGACCATTATGGCCAAACATTTCCACTTTGGTCTCATCTCTCTACATTATAATAATCATTATAATGATCACTCCAACTGTAGAATGGTGGACTTCAGATTGTTTGGCATGACCTTATAACATGTCCCAGGTTGATATGTAATAACAACTGCCTCATTCTGTTGTCTCTTTCTGCTTTTATAAAGGTGGTCACACTGATGATCAATCAATCAAAGTCTATACACAATTGTGTATTTATTTTTTTCCCACACACTGCCTCTGAAATTTGGCTTAATTTTTGTTAAATAAACAATGACACAAAATTATGTTATCCACTGTTGTTCATCCGAGGTCATATTTACCAAATGTGAAGACTTGCTGGAGATCAGAGGATTTTTTTTAATGTTGCGACATGTAAAACTGTAGAAAAGAAAGAGAGTGTACTTTTTTCACTTGTTCTGTAAAAGTAACAGATTTTAAGTTTTGTCTCTTTTTTTGTAAAAGGAGGGCTGTGAACTTTGCCACCTGATGATTTCCACTGAAAATACAGCAGAGATTATTTACTGCAAACTAAAGCATCTGACTGTGTTGTGAAGATGTTTATACTTTAGAGGTGGAGTGATAGGGATGCGAGGTTAGTGCAGCTGGTTTCTATTTTTCACAATGATGCTGACAAAACAGCTGCATGGACCATGAGGTCAGATAAATGTATCTTAATGTATCTTCAGAGCGGAGACAACACTTGTTAAAATTTTCAGTAAGGTGGATGTACATACCCAGAGGGTGCTTGGACAGTACGGGAACCGATACTGCTGATACCGTGAGTCCTTTGGACGCTTCACTCTCATGTCTGGGTTGTGCTAAGAGTCGAACCTCGCGGGGAAGTGGCTGGGAAGGCGCAGCATTCAAACCTGAGGTGTAATACACGCACAGGACATTCAAGTGTTAAGTTAAAGGCATGCTGAGTATTAGCTGCATCATGCCTCAGTTTAACAGCACGCATGGGTGATTGATAACAGGACCACAAGATACCAGTGAAAAATAAACTACACTCACCTTTAAGAAGATTTGTCTCGATGCTGTCCCGTACCAGTTTCCAGTGAACACCAGAAGGTTTGTAGACACAGAACAGGCCCTCTAACTTCCGAAACATCCGAATAGCTGGAGTTGCCATTATTCAGCAGCATCGGATTATACTTACGTCTTGGAAAAATAATAAAACTACTTAAAAAAGACTACATTTCATGGAAATTTTGTCGAGTGACAGTTGTTTTGTTTCTACTGCCACTTTCTTCCACGTGAGCCTACGCGCATGCGTACATGATGACGCTTTTCATTGCTTCTTTTTGGCCATACCGCCATCTACTGGAATGGATGTATGTGTACGCTATTTTAGTCCTTATATAAGTAGAGAAACGCCACCTGAGCTTCCACCAGAATTATTAAACAGCCGCTTATTGTGTGTAGTAACAAGCTGGGAGACGTGGAAGAATAATTGGTATTTTATTGTTTTTTTGTTTGGTTTTTTTGTGTGTGTGAATTTTTACGGTTTGTTTCAGAAGATGGCAGTAGCAGCCGCCACTCAGAGAACAGAGTGGAAAAGAGGACGAAGAAGAAAGCAGGCAGCTAACTTTAGTCGCTGTTTATTTTCGTTGACAGCTGAGAAGACTTCAGTAACATTTCGGCATTTTTCTAATTTGAGGTTTTTGCTGTAAGGTGAAGCTTTGGCCTCTGCTGTTAAACTGCTGTGTGCTGACAGGTACGTTAGTTTGTTTTCACGGGACACTGGTCAGAGAAACGCTACGTAGTTATTGTCAAACTCCACTCGTACATATCCAATTATGGTGAAATGAGCATAAACAAGAAACACGTTACTAAAACCAAATATGAGTTGAACTGAAACCTGGAGCTATACAACGAAACAGGATTTGGACGTATCCAGCAGGGTATACCCCCATGGTAAATGTGCTGCCAACCTGAACTTTCTTATGTTCCAGATTAGAGATCAACATGAGGTCATTGCACACTGACCACTCAGTCCTCCTTGAAAATAATATCGCCATTCTTGGAAGATCAGACACCTCTGCACGTGGATAGTAGAAGGATCTGAAGTATTTCAATAGCATTAGACGACCCGCGCAGCACCGTGGTATGATGGTTAGTACCGTTGTCCTATCGCAAGAAGGTCCTGAGTTCCTCCACCATCTGGGCAGAACCTTTCTGCGTGAGTTTTGGCTTCCTCCCAGAGTCCAAAGACATGTGGTTAGTTATCGTTAGTTATTTGGGTATTCTAAATTGGTTATAGGTGTGAACGTGAGTTTGGATGGTTGTGTGTCTCTCTGATGAAGTAGATGAAGTGTTTCACTGTTTAGTAATGCACAACAAGCCAATGTATAAAATAAAATATACTGAGAAAAGGCTGCTATGTTTATTGTTTGAACCACACAGGTTTTGTGGATTTTAGTGTTGCCTACTTTGTAGGGAGGGTAAATGTAGACATTATAAACTCTATGGATGACATTTTTCATCTATGGTAGAATAAAATTTGAATCTGTGTAGTTACATTTTTAAACACTAAAATTGGTGTGAAATGGGCCAAAACTTCAGTCATCTCTGGTCACGTAACAAGTTTTGAATGACGTTCCAAGCAGTGTTTCAGCATATCTACACTTTGTAAGCTCGTCACAGCATCGAAATGTCAGTATTGAGCGTAAGGTATATATCTCTACCTTACAATATAAATAACGTTAAATGTGGGCTGTATAAAAAATAAAAAAAATTAAAAACTCAAATTGAAAAGATGCCAGGTTTAAATATTTTCTTGGTTTTCTGTTCATTGTCTGGTTATTTGTTCTTGATGTCCTCTGAGCCTCTTCAGGCTGGTCATGTTGTTATATGTGTCAGACTATAATTAAAACATATTCAGTAATAAAAGTGTAATAAAAAATACAGAAAATGTTGTTGACCAGTGGTCAAATTGGTCACGCTTAGTATTACAGCAGCAGTTTTGAATGTCTTAAAATCGTCACCCTGACAAACAGTTCCCGTAGCAAGAAAATAAATAATGTTAATAATATTCAAACACGTTTCTCTGTGAGAAACAGCCTGATTAGATAACTCATATTTTGCTCAGCTGTTGTCTTCTCTTTGGTGTCCATCAGGTGTGATGCGAGCTCCTCTGCGCTGGGTGCTATGGGATGTGAAGGACACCCTGCTGAAGGTGCGCTCATCTGTGGGAGAGCAGTACTGCAAGGAGGCACAGCGTATGGGCTTGAGCCTCAGTCCTGTGGAGGTCGACGCCGCTTTCCGGCAGGTTTATCGACAGTATTCCAGTAGATACCCAAACTATGGCATCAGTCAGGGCCTGAATGGACAGTCATGGTGGAGGGGGGTGGTGCGGGACACTCTCTCTCAGTGTGGTGTACAGGAGCCAGAGTTGCTAAACACAATAGCCAACAATCTTTACCACAAATTCTGCAGCGCAGATAACTGGGAGGTAAATGATCACTGACACGTTCATACACTTAAAACACCGTGTTTAAAGATTTTAAACAGTTCCTCGAATAATGCTTTTTTAAATTTTATGCAACAATATATAAATAAAGGCTACAGGATGTGTATTTTTTTTTTAACTATAATCATCATAATAAGCATTACATACTGAACCAGAAAAACATATCACATTAAATATCTGACTTGTAAAGCAACTTAAACTTTGCCTGCAATGTTTGGAGAATGTCATGTTAAACTGTATAATATTCCTTTGTTTCAGGTATTTCCAGACTCAAAGAAGGCTCTGGAGAGTTGTTCTTCTCTTGGACTGAAGCTGGGTGTGGTGTCCAACTTTGACAACCGCCTGGAAGCCATCCTACACGTTTGTGGGCTGCTGTCATACTTTAGCTTTTTAATAACATCAGAAGAGGCTGGTGTAGCAAAGCCCAGTCCAGCCATCTTTAGTCAGGCACTGCAAAAATGTGGTGTGCCAGCTGATAGAGTAGCTCATATTGGGGACCATTATGTTAATGATTACCTCACTTCTCGGTCTATGGGTATTCACGGCTTCCTTTTAGATAGACATAAGGATGGCCAACTAGATGTTCCTCGAGAGCATCGGCTGAGTTCACTGGATGAGCTGCCGTCACGGCTCCAGCAGCATATGAACTAACATGAGTCATAAGATAAGATAACCTTTAGTCCCACACGTGGGAAATTTGTTTGGTTACAGTAGAAACAAATGGTGTCAAGTGAAATCTACTCAGAACAAACTGGCTTAATTAGCGAAATAATGTATGGACTGTTGACTTAAGTATATCAAACTACTTCATCCTCATAAGACAAATGAAATGCTGATAGAAAAATGTAATGTAAAATGTAAGAAATATTAACATTGTATGGTTATATGTATGTGCACCTTTCATGTCTTTGTATTATAAAATATGTTGGGAAAATAAACCTCTAACTATACTGTGTCTCTGAAAATAGAGAATATGAAGTGAGGCAGCAAACTGTCAGACCTTCGACAAGGTTCTGAAAACATTTCTGAGAGATTGTGGTCCATGTTGATATGCTGTTTGGCATGTGCGCATCCATGATGCAAATTTCCTGTTCCCCACATCCCAAAGGTGCTCTGTTGGATTAAGGTGTGGAGACTAGAGCCCATTTTAGTGCGTTGCCATGTCCAAGAGAACTATTTCAGATGATCTGAGCTTTGTGACATTAGAAGATGGGAACACTGTGGTCATAAAGGAGTGGACATGTTGAGCAATAATAATCAGGTCATTTGGTACAGTGTCCCAAAGGATAGATTCATGGTTTTCTGATGTTTTAAGCCAAATTCTGACCCTACCATCTGACTGTCATAGCAGAAATCGAGACTCATCAAACGAGGCAACTTTTTTTACCTAATCTACTGTCCAAATGTGTTAATTTTCCTGTTTGACTGAAGTCACTGTGTGGTCGTCAAGGTTCAAGGTGTTGTGCGTTCAGCGATGCTGTTCTGCATACCTTGGATGTAACGTGTTTTGATGCTGTTGCCTTCCTATCAGCTCAAAGGAGTCTGGTTATTCTCTGACCTGTAGTAGCCACAGTGCATTTTCCCCCAGAGAACTGCTGCTCACTAGGTATTTTCTCTTTAACCAACTATTCTCTGTAAACCCTAAAGATGCTTGTTTGAGAAAGATCCCAGTTGATCAGTAGTTTCTGAAATAATAAGACCAGCACAAATAACCAGTGAGGTCATATTGAGCACGTCTATATGGCTGTGTGCATTGACTTGATTTATATTTTATTGATGTCAGTGACTTTAAGGTGGGTGACTGCAAAAAAAAATCATCACTGAAGTCTATAGTTTGTGTCTTTGCTTCTCTGTAATGTCATATCTGCACCATCAGGCTAAAATGTCTGTTGGCACCAAGGTAGTGCCAGTGGAAAACATAACTGAGGACTACAACTTTTTTTTTAAATTAAGAAGTTTATATTAACCACTGGAGGAATTGTTTTAGAAGACAAGCCCAGAAATGTTTTTGCAGCACTCGGGACATGTCAATTATTTTACCATCTTTTTAAATAATCGGTTATTTGGAACTTGTCCCCACATTTAGGGAAATTATACAAAACAACCGAGTAACCATCTGCTTTGAGCAGAGCTGCTATGAATTGTTGGCAGCAAATGTATTTGCAATTGATTGTGTCAAGTCACAAGTTGCCTGCATTCTCTCAATTTCTGCTCAGCATCAGCTATGCAGGTACATTTCTTTAAAAGGTTATTCATTAGCAGGCTGCGTTACAAGAGCTAAAAAGCTCTGATCATCCCTAATGATATTTTTCAGTGCTTAGCAGTGAGGGGAACAAGGCAGGGTTGCTTAACCCTAATACCTTTGTAAGTACCCACTTTGACCATCTGGTCAAAGGCAGATACTGGGAATGTTGGACTGAGGATCAAAAGAGCTGCAGAGAGACCAAAGTGGAATCGCTATTTACAGCAAGCTCCAGCCTCTTATAGAATACGGATTGACATTCTTCCAAAAAAAGATTTAATGTTTTTCATTTTTAAAAGAAAGAAGAAGAAAAAAGACGACACCCCTCCCACAGTGTTCATAAAACTATTTTCCCCAAGTCGTATTTTCACTTTCTTTGAGTCGTGTCCAGTTAAATGTTTTCCCCGTCCGACTGTTTGTACGTTGAAGGGTATTGTATATCTTTAGGGAGTCATCCGTAAGAGCTGCTTAATTCAAAGCTGGTTTAGTAGCTCAGCCAGACGGCTCTAAAGGCCTCCACAGAAATCCAATTGCAGGCATAATGGGATTGCAAAAGAAACAAAACCAAGCTTCTCATGCAGAGAGCCAAAGGGAAGAGCAGAGGAGGTGCAGCATGTCACGAGGGAAGATGTCAATCCAGTAACTTACAATCAAAACAAAAGCTCAGCATTTCAGCACGTGAAGCGGCCTCATATTGGAGGATGAATGTTTGAATGTGAATGGGTATAGATTCTGTGAAATAAAGAAATTAATAAATAAACAGGCTGAATGGCTATATAGCAGAAGCTGGACAAAACGTTTCCCTCAGCCATAAAAGCACTCAAGACTGCAGCTCTTTGTTCAAATGTGCCTGGGGTTCAGAGTTCTGTGTTGGCATTATTGCATCTTGAAATATTCAGTGGAACAGAAAAATAGAGTAGATCAGAAAATTAGGGTATTTTGAGAGAGCGAGAGCTTCACAAGTGAAAAGAAGGTCACGCAAGGAATAAAAAAGAGACTTGAGAGATGGAACAGCAATTAAGAGACATATGAAAGAGACAGACACACACTTGCATATTTAATTCTTCATTGGAAAACAAATAATGGAGGCTTTCCAGTTGTGCCAGCATAAGTCTGGCACCATAAAGGGATAATGCATGAGAAGCTCAACAGCGGGATGTGTTCACCCAGCAAATCCCCCAAATATATCGGTTTCAATCCTGCAATAGACATGCAAATTCTGCAATGCAAAAATCACGTACTGTAAACAAAGACAAGTTTATCATCCACTCAGAGGCTTTTGGCATAGAAACGCCATCACATTCACAGTGAACACACATAGCATGTGCACATGCTTCACAATAGTGTCAATTTGTCCTTTAATTCCCTCACCAGTAACATAAAATTATTTAGAAATTTCAAAATAACCACTTTAAACTTCAGAGGCTTTTTTCCCTTTTCCTTTTTTTTTTTTTTGAGCATTGCTATAAACACGGCGCTCGTATGCTTTGCATTTAAAATAAAAGCTGTGATTTCAGTGCATGCATGCTTAGGGGTATATGTGCAAACCGCGTGCTTTGTCCCATCAGTGCTCGTTCAGGCAGTTAGAAACGGCATCTCTCGTATGTGGATGCGTTTAAGTGTCTACATCGTGCAGTGAGTGCTGTTTTGTTTAGCTTTTTTATAAGCAGTGAAGAAGCTTGCAGATGAGTGCAATTTTCCAAAGGTACTGTAGGATAAAGTGGCCACTCGTGTTGGTAGAGTTCTTGCTTGCAAATTTAAAAAAAAGAAGGGAAAAAAAGAACCTCTGATGCATGCACATGTACAGGTACAGCTTAGGAATTAAAAAACGGAAACTGACAACTATTTTCGCTTCAGGAGCAATAAAGAAAGTTTCATCAAAAACGCTACAGGAATAACTTAAAGCTGCAGTCTCTGCATATAAATTTTGATTTAAGATCAGGAAATCAATGTGCATGAGTCTAACAATTTCTACTTCTGTCGAGTGAAGTGAGTTCCTTCCCTAAAAACAGACACTAAAACATGTTAAAGCACCGGTTTCCCCACACCATAAATTATTAAAATGTCCTTCGTGCTCATAGTGTTCTGATGAAAATGTGCAAAGATATTAAAAGACAAAAATAGGAATTGGGGATGTATGACTCAAGTGAATTATTCTTGTCCTGCAGCTTGAAATAAACGCCTTTTCTATTCAGCATCCACACATGGTGATTAATGGCCTTATAGATAAATTCCCATGTCCTTTAGGCCAGCCATAAACTCTAATCAGGACACACAGGGCTCTTCTCATGCAGGATTTGGCGGCAGCATCAGTCTCAGAGGGTCAAACAGTCTCAGAGGGTCAAACAGTCTGCTGCAATTCGTATTTTCGTAGAATCAAAGAGCAAAGCAAACACATCCCTAATTGTTGAAGTCCAAAAGGTCTCAGTCATCAGATAGGAGAAATGGAGCATTTAACCTCCCACATGAAGAAGGCCTACCTCAGTCACACTTAAGATACTGTATTATCACTTCCCTTCTGGCCAGCTGTACCACTTTGGATGCAAGCCGTGGGGTTTGAGGACCAGGCAGATGAGGAAGACTGAACACGGCATGATATGAAGAGCTCATGTTCAAGTGAGATGTTTTCTCAGACCACTGAAAGACAAAGCCCAAACATTTATGTTTATGTTAAGGAATTGTCTAAATAGTTAATATTCAGAAGGTTATCAACAAATTCCACAAAAAAGACGAACATTAAATTGGTGACGCTGTTGTGGTACATGGGGTATAATGATTTTTTTTTTTTTTCTTCATAGAAACTCTGCTTTTTGGACCCCTTTCCTACTTCCAGAGAGCCTTCTATTTTTAGCTCCCTCATGGAAATCATCTAAAAATAACAATCACTATCAACTAACCGAACCTTTGTCACAGGGATCGTCACTGCAGATGAGAGCTGGGTCTCCATCTATAACCTGAAGAGCCCACAGTTTGCAATCCCAATGATGGAGAGGTCAGGAGCAGGAGCGAGACTTTTAACTGAATTCAAAGTTCTAGTAATCAACGGTTCAAGACTTTTAAAGTAGTATATTTTGCCAGCTTGCACCAGCACACAGTTTACTGGCCAGACCTACACAATCAAGTTGCTTTATATAGCAAGGTGAAGATCCTACAAAATTATAACACATAACCCAACACAAGCACTTGGCAACAGTGGGAAGAACAAACTCCCTTGCAATAGGAAGAGTGCTACAGCAGAACTGCAGTCGGGGAGGGGCCACCAGCTGCCTCAACTGCCTGGGTGGGGTGAAGCGCACATCATAAATTCAGTTCAAAGGGGTAACTGAGGGCAAAATATAAGAATTTAAAAACTACTACTAATAAAAGTACTCCAAGCAGTCCAAAGTTGACCTTGAAAGAAAAAACGTTATGTGATATATATTTATCTGCTAAGTTTTTTTAATGTCTGTTTCCCAGCATTTTGAATCTTTGTGATTGCACCTTCTACCTGCATTGTTGTCCAGTTACACCAGCCATAAACATGTTCACAGATTGGTGTTCACTAGTCTAAAAAGGGTCCCTGACAATATCTTACTAGAAATCTCTGTGGCCTGTTTGTGCTTAATGCAGAAGCTCTGAGCCACACACAGCTGTCAGGAAGTATTGAGAAACAGAAATGATTTCATTAAAACTAATGTCCATAACAGAAATGT